CGGCCTCCACCACAGGTGACCCCCGGCCCCCACCACAGGTGACCCCCGGTCCCCCACCACAGGTGACCCCCGGCCTCCACCACAGGTGACCCCCGGTCCCCCACCACAGGTGACCCCCGGTCCCCCACCACAGGTGACCCCCGGTCCCCCACCACAGGTGACCCCCGGCCTCCACCACAGGTGACCCCCGGCCCCCACCACAGGTGACCCCCGGCCCCCCCAAACATGACCCCCGGCCCCCACCACAGGAGACCCCGGCCCCCCCCCAAACATGACCCCCGGCCCCCACCACAGGTGACCCCGGCCCCCCTTAAACATGACCCCCGGCCCTCACCACAGGTGACCCCGGCCCCCCCCCCCAAACATGACCCCCGGCCCCCACCACAGGTGACCCCAGCCCCCCCCAAACATGACCCCCGGCCCCCACCACAGGAGACCCCGGCCCCCACCACAGGAGACCCCGGCCCCCACCACAGGAGACCCCGGCCCCCCCCAAACATGACCCCCGGCCCCCACCACAGGAGACCCCGGCCCCCCCAAACATGACCCCCGGCCCCCACCACAGGAGACCCCGCCCCCCCCCAAACATGACCCCCGGCCCCCACCACAGGAGACCCCGGCCCCCCCCCAAACATGACCCCCGGACCCCACCACAGGAGACCCCGGCCCCCCCCAAACATGACCCCCGGCCCCCACCACAGGAGACCCCGGCCCTCCCCAAACATGACCCCCGGCCCCTACCACAGGAGACCCCGGCCCCCCCCCCCCCCCCCAACATGACCCCCGGCCCCCACCACAGGAGACCCCGGCCCCCCCCCAAACATGACCCCCGGCCCCCACCACAGGTGACCCCGGCCCCCCTTAAACATGACCCCCGGCCCTCACCACAGGTGACCCCGGCCCCCCCCCCAAACATGACCCCCGGCCCCCACCACAGGTGACCCCAGCCCCCCCCAAACATGACCCCCGGCCCCCACCACAGGAGACCCCGGCCCCCACCACAGGAGACCCCGGCCCCCACCACAGGAGACCCCGGCCCCCCCCAAACATGACCCCCGGCCCCCACCACAGGAGACCCCGGCCCCCCCAAACATGACCCCCGGCCCCCACCACAGGAGACCCCGCCCCCCCCCAAACATGACCCCCGGCCCCCACCACAGGAGACCCCGGCCCCCCCCAAACATGACCCCCGGACCCCACCACAGGAGACCCCGGCCCCCCCCAAACATGACCCCCGGCCCCCACCACAGGAGACCCCGGCCCTCCCCAAACATGACCCCCGGCCCCTACCACAGGAGACCCCGGCCCCCCCCCCCCAAACATGACCCCCGGCCCCCACCACAGGAGACCCCGGCCCCCCCCAAACATGACCCCCGGCCCCCACCACAGGAGACCCCGGCCCCCCCCAAACATGACCCCCGGCCCCCACCACAGGAGACCCCGGCCCCCCCCAAACATGACCCCCGGCCCCTACCACAGGAGACCTAATGAGGACCTAGTAACCTAATGATCTCCCTCAGGGCCACGATAGTTGCAAATTGGTTTCCAATATCAAATGTTATTCATAATAATGGCTCCCACAGTGTCTCTCCCACAGTGTCTCCCCCACAGTGTGTCTCCCACTGTGTGTCTCCCACAGTGTCTCCCACAGTGTCTCTCCCACAGTGTCTCTCCCACAGTGTGTCTCCCACAGTGTCTCCCCCACAGTGTGTCTCCCACAGTGTCTCTCCCACAGTGTGTCTCCCACAGTGTCTCTCCCACACTGTGTCTCCCACAGTGTCTCTCCCACAGTGTCTCTCCCACAGTGTGTCTCCCACAGTGTCTCCCACAGTGTGTCTCCCACAGTGTGTCTCCCACAGTGTGTCTCCCACAGTGTGTCTCCCACAGTGTGTCTCCCACAGTGTGTCTCCCACAGTGTGTCTCCCACAGTGTGTCTCCCACAGTGTCTCTCCCACAGTGTCTCTCCCACAGTGTCTCTCCCACAGTGTCTCTCCCACAGTGTCTCTCCCACAGTGTCTCTCCCACAGTGTTTCTCCCACAGTGTGTCTCCCACAGTGTGTCTCCCGCAGTGTCTCTCCCACAGTGTGTCTCTCCCACAGTGTGTCTCTCCCACAGTGTGTCTCCCCCACAGTGTGTCTCCCCCACAGTGTGTCTCCCCCACAGTGTGTCTCCCCCACAGTGTGTCTCCCCCACAGTGTGTCTCCCCCACAGTGTGTCTCCCCCACAGTGTGTCTCCCCCACAGTGTCTCTCCTACAGTGTCTCCCCCACAGTGTGTCTCCCCCACAGTGTGTCTCCCCCACAGTGGGTCTCCCCCACAGTGTGTCTCCCCCACAGTGTGTCTCCCCCACAGTGTGTCTCCCCCACAGTGTGTCTCCCCCACAGTGTGTCTCCCCCACAGTGTGTCTCCCCCACAGTGTGTCTCCCCCACAGTGTGTCTCCCCCACAGTGTGTCTCCCCCACAGTGTGTCTCCCCCACAGTGTGTCTCCCACAGTGTCTCCCCCACAGTGGGTCTCCTGGTTGATACCTGGTTGATACCTGGTTGATGGGGTTCTGGGAGTTCTTCTACTCCCCAAGCCCGGCCCGAGGCCAGGCTCGACTTGTGAGAGTTTGGTCCACCAGGCTGTTGCTTGGAGCGGCCCGCAGGGCCACGTACCCACCACAGCCCGGCTGATCCGGAACTTCTCTTAGAAAACCGTCCAGTTTTCTCTTGAAGATGTCCACGGTTGTTCCGGCAATATTTCATATGCTCGCTGGGAGGACGTTGAACAACCGCGGACCTCTGATGTTTATACAGTGCTCTCTGATTGTGCCTATGGCACCTCTGCTCTTCACAGGTTCAATCTTGCATTTTCTTCCATATCGTTCACTCCAGTACGTTGTTATTTTACTGTGTAGATTTGGGACATGACCCTCCAGTATTTTCCATGTGTATATTATTTGGTATCTCTCTCGTCTCCTTTCTAGAGAGTACATTTGGAGAGCTTTGAGACGATCCCAATAATTTAGGTGTTTTATCTCGTCTATGCGTGCCGTATATGTTCTCTGTATTCCATCTATTTCAGCAATCTCTCCTGCTCTGAAGGGGGAAGTGAGTACTGAGCAGTACTCGAGACGGGACAGCACAAGTGACTTGAAGAGTACAACCATTGTGATTGGATCCCTGGATTTGAAAGTTCTCGTAATCCATCCGATCATTTTTCTGGCTGACGCGATATTTGCTTGGTTATGCTCCCTAAACGTTAGATCGTCGGACATCATTATTCCCAAATCCTTGACATGCTGTTTTTCTACTATGGGAAGATTCGATTGTGTTTTGTACCCTGTATTATGTTTCAGATCCTCATTTTTGCCGTACCGGAGTACCTGAAATTTATCACTGTTAAATATCATGTTATTTTCTGCTGCCCAATCAAAAACTTTGTTGACATCTGCTTGTAGTTTTTCAATGTCTTCAGCAGAGGTAATTTTCATGCTGATTTTTGTGTCATCTGCAAAGGACGACACAAAGCTGTGGCGTGTATTTTTGTCTATATCAGATATGAGAATAAGGAACAGTAGCGGTGCAAGGACTGTACCTTGAGGTACAGAGCTTTTAACACACAGTGTGTGTGTGTGACACCCCACAGTGTGTCTCCCACAGTGTGTCTCCCACAGTGTCTCTCCCACAGTGTCTCTCTCAAAGTGTGTCTCCCACAGTGTCTCTCCCACAGTGTCTCTCCCACAGTGTCTCTCCCACAGTGTCTCTACCACAGTGTGTCTCCCACAGTGTGTCTCCCACAGTGTCTCTCCCACAGTGTGTCTCCCCCACAGTGTGTCTCCCACAGTGTCTCTCCCACAGTGTCTCTCCCACAGTGTCTCCCCCACAGTGTCTCCCCCACAGTGTCTCTCCCACAGTGTCTCTCCCACAGTGTGTCTCCCACAGTGTGTCTCCCACAGTGTGTCTCCCACAGTGTCTCTCCCACAGTGTGTCTCTCCCACAGTGTGTCTCCCCCACAGTGTGTCTCCCACAGTGTCTCCCCCACAGTGTGTCTCCCACAGTGTGTCTCCCACAGTGTGTCTCCCACAGTGTGTCTCCCACAGTGTCTCTCCCACAGTGTCTCTCCCACAGTGTCTCCCCCACAGTGTGTCTCCCCCACAGTGTGTCTCCCCCACAGTGTGTCTCCCACAGTGTCTCCCCCACAGTGTGTCTCCCCCACAGTGTGTCTCCCCCACAGTGTGTCTCCCCCACAGTGTGTCTCCCACAGTGTGTCTTCCCCACAGTGTGTCTCCCACAGTGTGTCTCCCACAGTGTGTCTCCCACAGTGTGTCTCCCACAGTGTGTCTCCCACAGTGTCTCTCCCACAGTGTCTCTCCCACTGTGTCTCTCCCACAGTGTGTCTCCCACAGTGTGTCTCCCACAGTGTGTCTCCCACAGTGTCTCTCCCACAGTGAGTCTCCCCCACAGTGTGTCTCCCACAGTGTCTCCCCCACAGTGTGTCTCCCACAGTGTGTCTCCCACAGTGTCTCTCCCACAGTGTCTCCCCCACAGTGTGTCTCCCACAGTGTGGCTCCCACAGTGTCTCCCCCACAGTGTGTCTCCCACAGTGTGGCTCCCACAGTGTGTCCCACACAGTGTGGCCCCCACAGTGTGTCTCCCACAGTGTGTCTCCCACAGTGTGTCTCCCACAGTGTGGCTCCCACAGTGTCTCCCCCACAGTGTGTCTCCCACAGTGTCTCCCCCACAGTGTCTCCCCCACAGTGTGTCTCCCACAGTGTGGCTCCCACAGTATCTCCCCCACAGTGTGTCTCCCACAGTGTGTTTCCCACAGTGTGGCTCCCACAGTGTGTCTCCCACAGTGTGGCTCCCACAGTGTGGCTCCCACAGTGTGTCTCCCACAGTGTGTCTCCCACAGTGTGACTCCCACAGTGTGTCTCCCACAGTGTGACTCCCACAGTGTCTCCCCCACAGTGGAGCACCAGTGAACGCCTGGACGGGTTTCTGAAGACATGTAACAACAAATGGAATTGGAGCCGACAGGTAAAGTGTTCATCTCACCCACATGTTCATTAAATGAAGTTGTTCACCCTTCCCACACGTTCACCCTACCCACGTGTTCACCCTACCCACGTGTTCACCCTATCCTCCTGTTCACCCTACCCACGTGTTCACCCTATCCTCCTGTTCACCCTACCCAACTGTTCACCCTACCCACGTGTTCACCCTACCCAACTGTTCACCCTACCCAACTGTTCACCCTACCCACGTGTTCACCCTACCCCCGTGTTCACCCTACTCCCGTGTTCACCCTACCCCCGTGTTCACCCTACCCACGTGTTCACCCTACCCCCGTGTTCACCCTACCCCCGTGTTCACCCTACCCCCGTGTTCACCCTACCCACGTGTTCACCCTACCCACCTGTTCACCCTACCCAACTGTTCACCCTACCCACGTGTTCACCCTTCCCCCGTGTTCACCCTACCCCCGTGTTCACCCTACCCACCTGTTCACCCTACCCAACTGTTCACCCTACCCACGTGTTCACCCTACCCACGTGTTCACCCTACCCACGTGTTCACCCTATCCTCCTGTTCACCCTACCCACGTGTTCACCCTACCCTCCTGTTCACCCTACCCACGTGTTCACCCTACCCACGTGTTCACCCTACCCCCGTGTTCACCCTACCCCGTGTTCACCCTACCCACGTGTTCACCCTACCCCCGTGTTCACCCTACCCCCCGTGCTCAATAAACACATGTAGTGACAGCCGTCCATTTCCTTCGGCAGGTTCCGGTGGTGAGCGGCGCCCTCCCGAGCGTGGCCTCCTGCAGGAGATGGTGCTCCTCCTCCCCGTCTGATGCTTCACAACAAGGTACTCCACCACCTCTCTTGCCAACACTATGGCTCCCACGGTGTGGCTCCCACGGTGTGGCTCCCACGGTGTGGCTCCCACAGTGTGGCTCCCACGGTGTGGCTCCCACAGTGCGGCTCCCACAGTGTGGCTCCCACAGTGTGGCTCCCACAGTGGGGCTCCCACAGTGCGGCTCCCACAATGTGACTCCCACAGTGGGGCTCCCACAGTGGGGCTCCCACAGTGTGGCTCCCACAATGTGGCTCCCACAGTGGGGCTCCCACAGTGGGGCTCCCACGGTGTGGCTCCCACAATGTGGCTCCCACAGTGTGTGTTTGTTATTAAGTTGAAAGAAACTGTAAATAATTGACTAACATTAACTGTAAATAAATTATTGTTATTTGTTTTACCTTTGAGGACTTGATGGTTTACGCCTGGAATGTAAACATGTTTACATAGTCAACATCAGCTGGCACTCAGAAGACTATTGTTTATTGTTTTCTTGAGTTCGGTTTGGGATAAGAAAACCATGTCCCTCACCCACAGGCTTTTTTCTTACACCGTGGGAGATGTGAGGGTCGGACAGGCAGGGCCTGCGTCAATAATAGGAGCTGAGGTCAGATAGACACATGAGGTTCAAGTACGTTTATTAAGATAAAAAACAACTCAAAATGTCAGATGTTTGGGATGTTGGGGGTCACCTAGAGACCCCCTGACCCCCTAGAGACCACCTCTGACCCCTTGAGAGAGGGGTCAGAGGAAGATGCTGGACTGGCACCAGAGACAATCATCACAGTGCTTCAGAGTCTGGTGGGCTGTTAGTAACTTCGCATAATTCAAGTTTTTTCCATGTTATTAGACATGGAGTTATCAGACATATATCAGACAGTGTATCAGGCTATATAGACATATCAGACGTTATCAGACATATTAGACAGCCCGTAATTGTGATAGGAAATATTGTTAGCTGGGATAGGTATGAATAATTCAATAACTAATGTGGAACTATAACACGACACCTCCTAACTACTTAAGAGTGGCAGATTGTTATCCTGCCTAATATAATTGGTGCCCCTAGTCCTTGCAAGGACCTTCAATTTGATTTATCCATTCTGCATTTAACTGCCTAAACTAATCCATGATCAACCCTCGACCACGAATATTAGAGAATTATCAGCATTCCCCGCAAGTGAGAAATAAATTACATGTACATTTAAGAAATGAGAGAGAGTGGAAGTCCATCCCCATCGGTCTCACCTCTACCCCCCCCCCCCTCCTCCCTCTGGGGAAGTCAGAAGAGCCCAATTAACATCTGCTCAATATACTTACACAGGGGGAAATAAGAACTTAATAAGTCAAGTGTGGTATAAATGTTCCTTGACTTCTTAGGAAAAGTGTCCTTCAGACTTATTAGGAAAAGTGTTCTTTTTTATTTCTTTAATTTCTAAGTTCTTAATAAGTGTTATTAGGAAAAGTGACTTTAAGGACAAGCCTGAAGAGTTGGCTTGTGCAATGGAAGTGTAACTATAGGGGGGGGGGGAAGAGCATGTACTAATGTTACACTATTGTGTTCCTCCCATAGTGTGGCTCCCATAGTGTGGCTCCCATAGTGTGGCTCCCATAGTGTGGCTCCCTTAGTGGGGCTCCCATAGTGTGGCTCCCATAGTGTGGCTCCCATAGTGTGGCTCCCATAGTGGGGCTCCCATAGTGTGGCTCCCATAGTGTGGCTCCCATAGTGTGGCTCCCATAGTGTGGCTCCCATAGTGTGGCTCCCATAGTGGGGCTCCCATAGTGTGGCTCCCATAGTGTGGCTCCCATAGTGTGGCTCCCATAGTGTGGCTCCCATAGTGGGGCTCCCATAGTGTGGCTCCCATAGTGGGGCTCCCATAGTGGGGCTCCCATAGTGTGGCTTCCTCAGTATAGTGTACTACAGCCGCCAGGGTGGAGTACTTGTTACTGCAGCTGCGTCAGGAGGAAGTCTTCAGAGGAGTTATCAGGGCCAGGAGCTAGGGTCGTCCCCTGGGGGGGGGGGGGAAGGGAAGGGATGGGGGAGGGAACTATCAGGGGGGAAGCGCCAAGACATCACGAGGCTATATAGCACCAGGAAGGGGTCAGAATAAAGAGTTAGGATGGGACGGGGGAGAGGGGAAAGGAATGGTGTCTTAACCATTAGGACGCTCGGGGATTGAACACCGACCTGCATAAGCGAGACCGTCGCTCTACCATCTAACCCAAATTGCTTGGATGATCACAAAGTTACTCAGGCATTCCAACAATTATGCCGCTTAACTCGGGTATCATAGCTCGTGGATATGATAACATACCTTTAGCAGTTAATAAAGCTAATATTAACAGACTCGACAATACGTCACGTCTTCTCTGCAAAGCTTCAGTATCACAAGGTAAGTTTTCCCATGTACACACAAGGCTGAAATAAAGAGAGTTCCACGGCTAATAACCAATTAGCTATCACTATATATGTCCTTTCAACAGTTAGCAAAATATTTTAGAGAAATGTGTCTAAATATGCTTGTTGTTCACCCAGACACTGGGGGGGGGGGGAGGGGGGGACCTTGAGATGTTACTATGTTGAGAGATGTTTCCCTTAAGATGGAAGGTGGCATCGCAACAACCCGGGTGTGGTGGTTTGCAATGAGTTGCAAGTGACTATATTATCTGCTAACGATGTACCGACTCTCGCCTCAGTCTCACAGGCGAGACAATGAACAAGCCAGCTGTAACCAGCCAACCCGTCCTCGACTCAAGTCCATTACATTCAGCGGTCAACCCCACAGACGCATTCATAAATTTTAACATGCAGTTCATTCAAAACGGGAATTTTCTCAAGTATAAATTAATATTATAATATATTAGCATATTGTGCATATATAGGTATAGGATAGGTTAGGTTAGGTGTTTAGGTTCTGTTGGCGATTATTTGTATTTGTAGTACGTGGGTGAAGCATTTATAGCGTTGTGATTCGAACAAAATTCGTCAGTGAAGCACTTGTTCCGGATATGTTCGAACGTCAGCAGTTGTGAGTCGTGTGTAAACCGCTTTTCATTCATAAACACCGGGGGGTTTGGCGGGTGCATGGAATCACTTTTGGATCTTTGTTTGGAGGACGGGCTGAACCAGCACAGCCCGTGGTTCTGTGATACAAATAATAGCCAACAGAACCTTAACACCTAATCAATGCCTAAATATGCACAATACGAGTAATATATAACAATATTAATTTATATTTGAGAAAATTCATATTTTGAATGAACAGCATGTTAACATTTATAAAGGTTTCTTTGAAGTCGAGCACTGGATGGAATGAACATAAACTGAGGACGGTCCGCAATCTTCGCTTAACACCCATTCCTTCGGCGTACATAGACAGACCCAAACTTACGTATCACTATGTAATATATAAATGCAACGGCTTTCCAAGAATCTCAGAAATAACGTCACGTATATCACTGATCATGGGAAGATTTGTAACACAATGACTATTTTCTTGCCAATTGATTACATGAACAAGACTATTCCAAGATTATTTTCTTTGAACGTCAATCTGTTTAATCAAATTGTGTTAAGTTATTAATATATTGTTAATTATATTTTTCTATGGTAATGTTGTATTGTTTGATATTAAGCTTAAGGCATCGGAAATGGTAATTAAGGCAACCACAAGAGCTTACTGACCTACCAGAAAGTTTGCTTTAGTGATGAAAGCTCAGAAGCTAAAATTCATTTACAACTGTTTACCCTAAATATGAGACTGTTCTACGTTTTCTTTAATGAAGTCCGACAATGTCAAAGAAAATGAAAATATTGTAATGTATTTAATTGATACATGTTTGATGGTAAACTATTACAAACTTTCCGTATAGATTCTATGTGCCATTAATTGTTAGAGTTTACCTGAGGATCTCCATCTCTAGTGGCTTCGACGGGGGCAGGAAGCCGGTGGCTTGTGTAAGGCCCAATACTAGAAATTGAAATTTAATTTACAGAATTCTCATGTGTTGAAGTCTGTCGACACTGCCTGAGAATTTCTCAATTATTTGGTAATATTTTACAAAACAAATGTAGATAATTTTTTCCGAGTTCGTTAGCAAAAAGATTATATGCCCTTCTTTCGTCAGGTCTTGAATAATGTAAATACATGTTAGTTTAGTTCATTTATTATGCACCCCATACCCATCTTGTGGGAGGTATTGGAAGGGGTTACAGAGGCACATAATGGGCTCAGGGACTGAACCCCACAATTCATTTAGCTAAGCAAGTTACAATCTTGATGAGCTAGTTACAAAAGTCAATGCACATCGTCACATCAGCAATGGGTTCAAGATCGACCACAAGTACAGTTTCTAAATTAAGCAACTGACATATGTGGAGAGCTAGTGTCACAATTGATATGTTTGTCCTGCACACCGCCCCCCATCCAGTGGGCAGCGGTGGATAGGTTACAATCACTTAGTTACTACCTACAGTTAGCAAACTGGGGATATTTGGCTAAGATTTCTGGTAGGTAAAAACATGAATAGCACGCTGGACTTGTGATCCTGTGGTCCCGGGTTCGATCCCGGGCGCCGGCGAGAAACAATGGGCAGAGTTTCTTTCACCCTATGCCCCTGTTATCTAGCAGTAAAATAGGTACCTGGGTGTTAGTCAGCTGTCACGGGCTGCTTCCTGGGGGTGGAGGCCTGGTCGAGGACCGGGCCGCGGGGACACTAAAAGCCTCGAAATCATCTCAAGATAACCTTAAGATGAAAAAAACATTTTTTGTTATGACTGAACTTTATTGAGGAGCTGAGAATAATATGGTTCCTGGGAACGGCTACTTCAATATGTTTGGTTAGGTGAACCACCAAGACTACTTAGATATGGCAGTCCACCCTGGACCCCCTGTATTTCTCCCCCCCCCCCACCCTTTTCTCTCTACCCAACCACTTGGGCTGAACGGTAGAGCGACGGTCTCGCGCCATGCAGGTCGGCGTTCAATCCCCGACCGTCCAAGTAGTTGGGA